GCTGCTCAATCACAGAACATTAGCTGGGTCTAGCAAGGATATACAAATGATTTTGGGGATTTAGGCTAATCATATAGTAATTTGTTGAGCCTAGAATAATCCTCAACAGAATGCAGAAAGCACTGGACAGCCATTTTATCCTATCTTGGATTCATCAGCAGTGCACATCCACTACCGAGAATTGAACCCAGACTGTTTCAATACAATGCAAATGTCATACCAACTTTACCACGAGCCTTGGTGATGAAGAAGACACAAACTAGACACAATATAGTGCTGCTACTCACTCAGTTCTGCAAAACTAAAAAAAAAACTATTCAAGTAAAAATGATTAAGTGAATTTCAAAGGCAATATTTCGATATTTGGACATAGATTTTTTTCAACCAAATATATGCCATTTAATTCTATCTTTCATTATCTTTGATAACTTCATGATTCTATCTTCCAAGAATTTGACATCTTTCTGGGTAGTGAACTGGTCTGTTTTTTTACAGACTTCAGACAACTGAAATTCTTCTCATTAAAAGAATTTTGTAGGGATTGAAATAAGTAGAAATATGAAGGTACAATATCAGGTAAGTACATCAGCTGTAGTACAACTTCCCAGCCATGCTGCACCAGTTTCTACTGGCTCATCAACTGGTGCATTTTTATGCATATATGTTGTAAATTTCAGTGAAACAGAATCCTATACTTAAATGCCACCTATTGAAAAATTCTATGAACTTTTGTTCCAACCAAATGAATAGCTGGCTTCTTTGCAAGGAAGATAATGTTAGTAGCATGGTTAAAATCAGTAGGATAAACTTAAGTAAAAGTTATTGTAGTCAAAGATGATGACATAAACCAATAACATATTGGTCAGGGTGAGGAAGTAGACACTTGCCTGAGGCAAAAGATAAAGAATTATTCCCATTGGTCATTCAAAAATCATTATTTAATGCCTTCTTAATCTGTCAGATTTCAAATCATTTGAGTCTGTTTTGATAATCCTCTTATTTTCCATATTTAAGAATGGGAAAAGAGAAATGTCCGATTTCATCAGTTTTCTTTGAAGGAGAAATCTGGATTTCCATGATAAAAAAAATAAATCGTTACATAATTAAATTCTCCTGTATTGATAAATCAGATAGTTTCTAACTTCATTGTTATTGGCCATGTTAAAGTTGAGTTTTTAAATTTTTGGAGCATACTGGATCAATATTTGTTCTAAACCCAAGAAATATTGACTGAAAGAGAAAAGAGGCATTTAAATTGCAACCCAAATCTCCATTTCTTAATGCTTTTGCCAATAAGGCATAGATTTTTATTTTTTTTCTCTAATCTGATAAACATTCCACTTTTGTCACAGTGAGTAATTAAAATTTTGAAAGAAAAGTAGCAATGAAAGTGGTCATTTTAATTAAAGGTATAAAATTACAGTTGAAATTCTGAGGACATTTTAATTATTCAGATTATTATACTTCATGTTGGTTTTATTAATTCAGTTCAGCCAATACAATATTCAGCTTTGTTCATTGTCTGAAATTCTAACAAGATTATCTTTATTCAATGAATTGTGATAAAGGCAACCTCAATGAGAATATTGATTTGAATAACTCCTAGAATAAGACATAATAGGTAATCAAGAATAACAACACTGTGTTTATGTGGCCTGATTAAATAAAATTATAATTTATTATTCAGTAATATTTAGAATTATGGAGTAAAAGCATAGATGAATCTGTAGTTTTTTTTAATATTCTGCATTTTCATTCTTCCAACTGGGAATTCTTGGTGAATATTTCCGTTATTCAGAATTTCCAGTATGCTTGGAATATTTGCACCTTTGAGATTACTTGGCATGTCTTGGAATATTCTAGATATTTGGTGTGTTCTGAATTTGGCTGTCAGCTTGCCATCTTATCTCAGTAATACTTTGCATTTTGCCTGTCATATTTTTCAATTCAGCCAAACATGGGAATTGATCTAGAAATAAAGCTATCTTATACAAACTTTTCAAAAACAATTTTCTACTTGATAAAATCATTATTTACATATTGTCATGTTTCTATATCTGAAAGTGCTAATGGATGTAGAATTTGATTTTTGCCTGAATTTCTGAAAAAAAGGTACATTGATTCATTTGCATCAGTTCTCTTGTCTTTGAATCAAATGCAAAATAAAATAATATAAAATTGGACCACTTTGTAAGCAAGATAGGCAAACTGCCAAAGGGGAAGATTTTCCAAGTGGGAAATATATTTCTTAGTTCATAAGGTTTTAATTTTTTATCAACACTGTGTTTAAAAGAAATTACATTGGATTTTTTCATTTTACATAAAATAATAAAAACTGTATCAGTCGTGTAACATATATCAACAAAGAAAGTTTAATTGCCAAACCAAGTTCAAATTCTGTGCTAGTCTGTTGCATTCACTTTCATACTAATAACCTTGGGAAAAGCATGGCAACTCACAGATAATATAGCAATTCATAGATAATAAAGAGAAGGAACCTGTGGAAATACATGATCACTTACATTTAAAAAAAATTATATTAAAATTAAATCTACAATATTATAAATTTATGGTATTGTTGCTTTTTTATCCTTTAGGCCTGGATTTGTATATCAACAACTTACCAAGTTATGTTTGTGAATGAAATTGTGTAGATAGAATCATTCAAAAGATGTTGATGATTATGCTAGCATAAAGTTACAAGTCATCATAACCTAAGGTTTGAGCATATTGGTGTTCATACTGCTGATCATGATAGATTATGTGCTCAATCTCTCTCTCTCTTTCTCTCTCTCTCTCAGAAAATGGAACTAAGTTCCACTCAGCATAGTTTCAGTATGAACTATAGATGGGTTCTGTGGGTGTTCATCAAAAACAAATGTGCCTGAGCAGGCATCTGCAATAGGGATTGGCTAGCTTCTGTCACTGAGAATTGTGCTCAAAATATATATATATATAATAAAATAAAAACCACATCACTTGAAGATTTCCAACAATGGCAATAGCAAAATGGGTAGCACATGTAACTAGAAGAGAAAATTATGATATAATCCAAGTGTCTGAAATTCAATGACACAAAAAGGACTATTGAATGCTGAGTAAGAGTTGCAGTGGGTTAGGAACAGGCCTGTTGCCAGGGTATTACTGGTGGGGAGGGTATTGACTCCAGTGGTGGCATCATCTCCAGAAAGGAGCTTCTTGTAAGAGCTCATTTTCTTGCATTAAAATTAGTTTGCATGACATTTATAGATAGTAGGGTGATACAAAAAATTTTCAGTGTGAAGCGATCAATTTTCCCTATTATGAGTTGTCAAATTTATTTTTTATAAAATTTTAAAATAATAGACAGGGACATTCTCAGAGTACATGTGTGCCCTCTCATCAGGTAGCTGATGAAGAATATATGATGGTTGAGAGGTCTTGTTTTCTTCCCTTCCCTGAAAAGAAACTAGAACAGATCTTTTTTTTCTTTTTATGTGCCATGTCCTTTCAGGACATAGTCGATCACAGCTCTCCACCTCCCTTTATCTCTTGCAGCTTTCAACAAGTTCCTTCCCTCTGCTTCCACACCAGACCATATTCTGTCATCTACCAAGAATGTCACACACTGCTTTCCCTTGTCTCTCTTTCCCTCTATTTGACCCATGAGTATCAGATTCTCAAGACCCTCCTTCCTCATTATGTGTCCTAGAAACTTCAGTTGCCTCTTCCTGATGTTAAACATGAGCCTCCTCCTTGTCTGCATCCTCTCCAAGACCTCATTGTTGCTCACACACTCGGTCCACGAAATCCTCAGCATCTTTCTGTAGAACCACATCTCTGTTGCCTCGAGTCTCTTCTTCATCCTTGAGGAAATCATCCAGCATTCACTGCTGCAGAGGAAGACAGATGTCACGTAACAGCTTTTTGTTACCAAAGAAATCCTCTTGTCTCGCAATACTCTGCTCAGCTTTTGGAATGTGTCCTTAGCCATCCCAATACATCTATGTGTCATACTTACTGTCCTCTGTCAAACCCTGCTGATCTTAAAAATTGATAGACTGTCTGTTTGCATTTGGTGGGTTGGTCAAACTTAGTACTGTTACTGACAAAGTATGGAAATGGTAAAGGACAAATTTATTAAAATTTGAGAAAAATATTAGCGGCAAGAAAATTTCCTTTAGGATGCAGAAAAATAGTCAGTGGGCAATGTGTTTGAGATCCTTGATAATCAAACCGTTAATTTACCACACTGTCAGAAAAAGTTTCAAAGGAAACTGCCATTATTAGAAACTAGCTTAGAAGCTGACCTTTGGACGGACTTTAGGCTATCTCCTGGGCTTTTGGGCCTTCGACCTTTTACCTTCAGTGTCCTATGAACATAAAAGTTATAAGAATTTAGAAATAATGAAATTATCTTATCTTTATTCTACCTATTAATTCTGTATAATTTTTCAATGTATACACAACCTTCATATAAAGTTGCTCTTAAAAAACTTCAGGAAACCTGAATTATGTAATATTTCAAATACATCACAATACGTATGCTAAAAAAGAAAAGTAAAACCATATGAGCAATGTACTATGCCCTGCTTAAGTATTAATTATGGTTTAATTAGACAATTTCAATTACAAGTGTAATAAAAAATGAAATTGAAGTTAAACCTTTAATAAAGAGTTGCTTTTTAAACCTTTCACTCAGTTTGATATTTAAATTTAATTTTTAATGAGTTATTTAATTTTTAATCGAAAAATTGATGGACAGTCAGACACATGTATACCGCGTTTTATTTATATGGATTTTATAATATTTAATGAGCTTGAGAAGTTAAATTTCCTGAAAAACTGTTTAATAAAATGATTTTATAAATGTAAACCAACAGTAATAATGTTTGCTCAATGAATGATGAAAGTTTCCTGTATGGAAATGGCTAATTTTGCCATCATCATTACTATCAATATTTTATTATGAATTTCTGTGAAAACTTCATATCAATGTTTTTATTTTTTTTATTTTTCAGGTTTACAAGTAGTTTTGAACTCAATTCTTCGAGCAATGGTGCCTTTGCTACACATAGCATTACTCGTTATATTTGTCATTATCATCTTCGCTATCATTGGCTTAGAGCTGTTCTCAGGGAAAATGCATGAGACTTGTTTCAGTCTTGACAGTGGTAAGTAAAGGTCATAAGCCGTTTCTTTTTCTCTTCTCTCTTTCATAGGCTTACAGCTATATCACATTGAAACACTGGTTCTTGGGTGATTACTGAAGTTAAGCAACTTTGAGCCTGGATGGGTAACTGCTTGGGAATACCAGGTACTGTAAGCTCGAATGTGCAGATAATTGCTCGGAATTGAAAATTGGAGAGTCGACTTCCAATTCCAGTCGAGTTTGTTATATTTACTTACACGCAAATACCTTTGGAAAATGTAGGAATCCAGCTAAGGGCTAATTAGTAGGACTTGTATCAACAGATCATTATTATTTTTAAAAAATTCCTACAATCTAAAAAAAATATATTTTCTGGCTTTTAAATAACCTGAAAATGGTGATAAGCCAAAAAAGACAATCAATCTAAAAACACAAACTAAGCTTTTGAGATGAGTCCATAATATCCATTCATTTTTCAGGACTATTTTCTATCTTTATTAATGTTATTGATTGATTTATTACAATGTTTCAACTGATTCATTTTGAAGTAATATATTGACTCAAAATTAACAGAATGAGACAGTCAAAATTTTTTTTTTTTAAATTAACAACCAGCAAAAATTTTTTTAGGTTTTAATTTTCCTCAAATATTTAAAAAAAAAAAATTTAAGTCAACTTACTTTTGCTATTTCAAACGAAACTTCAGAAAAAATATAATAAATTTTTATGAAACCTGAAAAATCCAAGAATTGATCTTGATTTATTAATGTTTTTGGTAGATTTATTCATTGTAGAAAATCTCAGAAACAAATATATTTTTTTTTAAAATCTATCTTTTTTTTTTTCTCTCTTTTTTTAAATTAAATCAATTTTTACTTTTAGGTAAAATAGCGTCATCGAAACCACATCCTTGTGGTACAGGCTTTGTTTGTTCAAATGGAACAGAGGAATGCAGAAAATACTGGATAGGTCCAAATGACGGGATTACTAACTTTGACAACTTTGGCTTGGCCATGCTCACAGTGTTCCAGTGTATCACGATGGAGGGATGGACTGGAGTTCTTTATAACGTAACTTACATTTTTTTATCAATCAATTTTAAAAATTGCATTGATTTCATTTATTTACAATATTTAAATGAATGATCTTGATTTTCATTACAAATGTTTTTTGAGGTACATACAGGTATAACTGTATGTACACACACACATCCATATATATATATATATATATATATATATATATATATATATGAAATGGATTAAGGCCAATAATTATTTTAATATATTTTCTGTTTATATGTTATTTTTATAGATATAATTTATTTAAGTAAATGCTCTGTTTTTAATTAAACAGTATTAATTATGTTTACTGGCCTGAATGCTTGAGAAGTTTTGTAGAAAATATGTGTTCCCCAACAGGATTACAGGTTTGATTCCTGTCAGAGAACACATATTCTCTACAAAATTTCTCAAAAATTCGGGCTGATAAATGTAATGAATACTGTTTAATTAAAAACAGAGCCTTTACTTAAATAAATTATATCTATAAAAATAACATAAACTATAAGAAAATATATATAGTTTTAAGTATGATAAATGGTCTTCTTTTGCACAAATCTTCTTTTAATCCAACCAAAATATAATCAAAATATTCCCATTTATTGTCTGTTTGATTTTGTTTCTATTAATCTATTTAAAAGACTTGTACAATAAAAGGAATAAAAAATTGTTGCTTCTCTATGTCTCCAAGGATGTTTGATAATCCAATCAAAATTTCTTTTTCAACTTGATGCTGGAAGCATAGATGATCTTTTAGATTTATAGTGTATAGGGGTATTGATATGCATATATAACATGGCTTGCATATAATTAATGCAAATATTTCTTATTCCATGAGGTATGCAAGCTTTTATCATTAACTTTTGGCCAATGTGTTCATTTCTCTGTATCCTTTTCTTTCAACCTATTTTTCTCTCCTTTATTCTTTGTCTTTCCAAATCTTTTCCAACTTCAAATACACTTCTGAGAAAAGTGTCTAAAAATAATCAAGTCCCTCATCATAAAAACAATATACCAACACTTAACAACATAAACTGCAAACATGGCCACTATAAATTGACCATATTCAGGAAATAAAAATATATCTACTTTTCGGCAATTTACATACCATTTACAATAGCACAACCCAAATCCTTGAAAATGGTTAAAATTAGCTGAAAGCATTCAGAATTTTAAAAAACACGTTTGAACAGTTTTTACACATACTCAAAAAAAAAAGACATTTTGTTCACATGCAAGAAAAATGCAATAAAAAATTAACAAAAGTACTTTGTCAGTCATTTTAATTAAACATGTATATATGAATGTATAGATGGTGTAAAGTTTATCAGTGCAAAAAGTGAAATTGCTAAGCAGAGTTCAAATTCCAATTGATTCTGTTTTATTTTGTTTGCACTAATGCCCTTGGAAAAGGCATAAATTCATTCAGCTATGGGTTAAACAGCAGGACAGAGTAGGGCTGTTTGGAGACTTTGTGGTACACTGTGCACCATTTTTCTTTTATAAGTTCTTCTGAAAAGCCTAGCCATCACCACAATATCAAATCATCTGTGTGAGTAGTCTAGTGATCCAGTTCTAAACCTGAACCATTAGGCCCTCATATATCAAAATCAATGGGAGAGTCCACCATATAATGGTTGGTGGCTTGTTTGTCCAAGCATGCCTTTCTGCTAAGGTAGCTAATCAATCCCTGTTGCTGACACTTGCTGAAGCACATTTGTATTTCTACAGTCCCCACAGTAACCTCATTCAGTAACCCTCCACCTGAAGAGGCTCTTGGAGGCTATTATGCTGAGTTTCAGTTTCTGGAGGAAAAGTGCACAATCTTATGTGCTCAAACTCACAATGGCCTGCAACTTCAAGCTAGCACAACCATCAATGGCATCCAAACATTTTTGTCTATCCACTTAAATTCACAAGGCTTGGGTCAACCAATGGTATGGTTTTCAAGCACTCCCCAACAGTGCCATATACAGGGTGCACTGCCCCAGGAAAATGCTAACTTTCTAACCATTCAGATATATATATATATATATATATATATATATATATATATAATAAAAATGTTATCACTTAGCTGATAGATTTTATATTCAGTGCCTCAACTCTGGAGTTATGTAGATGAAATGTTTTTTAATCATTCTGTCCACTCATGATGTTTTAGCAGTTGATTGCAGATTTTCTCATTTTTGTTATTTTTATATCAAGTTAAAAATTAATTTATGCATTAGTTATTTGTGTGAGGTTAAATTTTTCTTCTTTTTGTGTGTGTATGCACACACATATATAGAATTTTTGTGGTTGTATATTTTATATATATATATATATATATATATATATATATATATATATATACATACATACACACACCACACTCTTAATATTAAAAAACTATTCCCACTTGGCCTCATACTAAACTAAGTCAATTAACTTTTGAACTTCATCAATTTAGAAAACAGGATTTTATATCTGAGCCTTCTCACTTGGAACACAATCTTCCAGATCTAATCTCAACTTTGTAAATATTTGAAAAATTCTGGAATATCATTTAACTTTCACAATATAAGATAAAATGTTAACAAATTCTCCTTGTGTATTTAAATACATATCATACTTTATTTCTTTTTTGCTTCCTCAATTCTTTAAATGTTTCTCATTTTTTTTCTCTCTTTCAGATCAATGATGCTGTGGGTAATAGCTGGCCTTGGATCTATTTCATCAGCTTGATCATCATTGGGTCATTCTTTGTCCTCAACCTTGTACTTGGTGTCCTCAGTGGGTGAGTGTTTTGAGATCTTAATCAAGAAAATATGGAAGGAATCTTTAAAACATAAAAAGTATGAACTTAGCAAATTGAATAGTGGGAAATTTAGTCAAATAAAAAACAAAAAAGAAAACTTGTCTAATATTAATGCAGTTAATAAATGAATGTATATAAAGGGTGTTCCAATAACTTGGACCTATTTTAAAAGTGAATTAAGTTTAAGAATGTAATGATTTTTTTCTTTTTCTTTCAGATTTAACAACTTAAGTCTTTAGCAATTTCAAGTATGGAAAGATTAATAATCAAACAATGTGTTAAAGTTATTGAAGCCTATTATGAAAATGGATGTTCAAACAGAAATGCATTTCACAATTTTTTGGTCGACATAATCGACCAGCCAAGAGTGTAATTGGAAACAATGTAACATTGTTGTGGAGAGTTTCTGTTCCTGTGCACAATGATGAATAGAGGGGGTCTGGATTTTTGGTCACATTTTCGTGCACTGCAGCAATGTTTTCAGCTGAATGGCATAAATGAGCACGCAATGGTATTTTCACATCTGCCACCAACCTTGAATTTACAAATAATTTTTCCAATTGCACTCTTGGAACTTTAACACATTGTTTGATTGTTAATCTTTCCATGGTTGAAATTGCCAGACTTAAGTTGTTAAATCTAAAGGAAAAAGAAAAAAAATCATTAGACACTTAAACTTAATTCACATTTAAAATCAGTCCAAGTTATTGGAACACCCTTTACCATTGTTTAAGTTGGAACAAAATGGAATCTGAGGATATTGCAACAAAACTCAATGCATAGGGTATCAGTGTAGTCATTATATAATATACTTAGAATACAGAAAAATTGTTTGCAGGCTGGATAAGATTTGTATCACAATATTTGCTTGTACGCCAGTCAAAATGTGTTTGTGGGCTATAGTTTTCCTGTCCTTGCTTTAAACGTAGAGAACAGATGAATGCAACACTGTAAGAATTCTTTTCATCTAATATCCCTGATTGTTTAAGAGATGAAAGAATTACCATAGTTGATGGCTTATAAGACATTTCCCATTTATATTTAATATTACAGTTAGGTGCAATATGAGAACTGGTTTGGTTGTCCACAGCATCTGGATAAACATTAGGTTATCAGATACTTTTTTGAGACATTTTTGGTGAAAAAAGGAGTTTTCTTACATTGCCATTGAATACAATGCTTTCATAGTGAACTATAGTCATTATTACTATTAATGATATTCTTGACAAATCTTATTATTGCAGTGAAAACAGGCATAGTAAAATAATGTTACGGGGATACAAAGATAAAAGGAAAAAAATAACATAACTACCATAAAGCAGTAAATCAAAGAAAAAATATAAAAATACTAACCAGTTATCAAATGTTGTTAGAATACAATGAACTGAGCTCATAATGAGAAAGTTTTAGTTTTTAATGGAAACAAAAAGTTTTTTTGGAGGGGGTGTGTATATATATATATATATATATATATATATATATATATATAAAACTGTCAAACTGACCAGGGAATTCAGAGCAGCATGTATCTATCCAGCTCTTATCTCAAATAACAACTTAAAAGAGACTGTTTGACCAACACAAGGATTGTTAAAAGATTCATGTTAAAAAGATAAAAAATTAAAAAAACAAATGAAAACTACAGACAAAAGTTCATTTTCTCCAGCAAAACATTCATTTCTGTAGTTTACTGCTACCAGCAAGCAGAAATATTTCTCCTCCCGATGATGGCCATTTTGCTCGAAACTAGTCGAAGAATCTAAATGAAATAATAATAAAAAAAACAAAAGAATATTAATCTACAACCCAGTGTGTCTAAAGATTTTAATTTTTTAATAATTTTTTAATATTTTTTTATTGTTCAAAATATATATGGGAGAAAATGATATATAACTTTTATATATCAGAACAATGTTATGAAAATTAAAGACAAAGTAGAAAAATCACTTTAGAATATCCAAACTTTACCTAAACTCCACAAAGCAGACATTATGATGTGCCCCATTATCAGATATTAATAGTGCTACCCAAAAACTGACAAAAGCTATAGCAAAACTTTTATCCCATCACATAATAAAAATTTGGGCAACATGATAAAAAAGTAAGAGAAATAAGTATGACAGCTAAATTCATGTCTAGTTTAGATGTTAAATCCCTTTACATAAATGTTCCTGTTAACAAATTCTTTAAAATAAACATCTAGCACAGTTAAAAATAAACCTCTCTTTACCAATAGCTAAAATCATAAAGATTTGCCAACTAATCAGCAATCAAAGCTATTTCAGTTTTAACAATAATTTTTATAAATAAAAAATTGGATTACCAATGAGTTTGTCTCTGAGTGGGGTTTAAGTGTGTATTTTCTTAGAATTGTCTTGAATTTGGTCTTTTCCAGAGTATTTTGCTTAAGAAATCAACATATTTCCAATATATTGATGAAGCTCTATTAATATATACCTGCAAAACTACATTACCTGACCTTGTAGATAAACTAAACTAAGTTGTACATGCAATAGAATTCACTTATGAAACAGAAACAAATAAATTTACATTTCCTAGATATCATGTTACACTGTACAAGCAATGACCTAAAACTAAGTGCCCATCACAAATCAACGAATAAAAAAGATCTCATAAAAGCAACAGAATAAAATATGAAATAATTATCAGATTCTATTTCCAAGCACTCAGAATTTGTAGCACTCAGTATTTATATGTTGAGGAGAGATACATTGGAAATAATTTTAAACTCCTCCAATACCATCATTATTTCATAATCAACATGAAACAAAAAGCTCATAAAATATTTCAAAATAGAAGAATGGACTATTCTAACAAACCAACAAATCAAAATATATTATTTTACCTAACAACTTTATTACAATTACAATTGAAATGATTTTATCTAAGCTTAGCATAAAATTTATTACAACTATTTTTAAAACAATAAAAGACTTAATACAAAACAAAATAATTAGAATAAAACTTGAAGAAGGAATTTACTCTATCACCTGTGATAATTGTCACAATGAATAAGAAATTTAAATAAAAGATTATAGGAACACAAAAGGGATCTTTTACAAAACAAAACCCTCCATGCATTAGTTGCTCACTGTAGTGCATCTGACCATAATCTTGATTTTAAAAATGCTACCTTAATATAACAAAGCAATTTACTAAAATGAAAGTGTATAGAAAGTGCTTACTAGATCATCCACAGTAAATTTGGGTTCAGTTTCTTAAAACAGTTTACCTTTCTTGGCAAATCTATTATCACAACCTGTGGTACTTAATGACAAAAGTGATCAGAAAAAGAAACTAAATGAAATTAGCTAAATTATGTATCCAAACATGTATTTAAAAAAAAATTAATTTAAAAGTTTAAAATTTCAGTGTCAGCTCTCCTTTGTACATGTAAGTAATTACATCAACATAAACATCCTTTTAGTCTGATGAAATCCTAAAGATCAAAATGCATCACATAAAAAAATTTCCACTTTGTCATTGATTTTCCTCATTCATATATATATATATATATATATATATATATATATATATATATATATATATATAATAAAAAAGGCTCAAACACTAATATTTGATGATTATAATTTATTACATTGGAATTGTAATCACTTTCCAACTCATCAGACCTACAAATTCAAAAAGAAATTGGAAAATATAACTCCGGGTATAAAAAAACAAAATTTTAGTGAGAGTGTATGTGTGAGAGTTGGAAACAAGTGTGAGAGGGAAATGTATGAAAGCTCTAGAGAGAGGGTGTAACAGAAGAAAGAAGAACAGGAAGGCCTAAAGGTGAAGGTGGGGATTAAAATTTAACAGAGAAGTTTTAAAGAGAGGAGTTAAATAAGGTTGAATTTGTACATCTGATGAATTGAATCGTGATTACGATTCCAATGTAATAAATTATAACCATGGAATATTAGTGTCTGAGCCTTTTTTTTTATATTCTTACTCTGTCCTGGACATTGAGTTCTACCTGGATTCTATTCTCTCTGGAATTTATATATATATATATATATATATATTTTTTGACCACTAATATTTTCAATATATATATATATATATATATATATATATATATATATTATATCAAAAGAAAACAATTTATTACAATTGAAATGAATGTATGGGAAAAAATTGTGCCCTGAAGATCACAATTTGAAATTGTTGAAAGTACTTGGCAAGTGTCTTCCATCTGACAACAACTCTAATATAAGGATCTTATTATTCAAGGAATTGATAGTAAATTAATGTCTCATTAAGTCCTCTTAGCACAGTGATTTCATCATTAATCACATTAACATTGCTATTTAATTCTTTGTAAATTGTTTCTTTATGATATAAAATATAAGCTGCACACAAACACACACACACTATATATATATATATATATATATATATATATGAGAATGGTGGACAGCTCATCACATCAGCACCCCAACAAATCCTCCCAGAGTTAAGGCAAAAGAAGTAGTGATCGCATTCAGTTTGATGCAAATAATATATGTAAAAATGGTTGCTGTCATTTCCTCAAGATGCTATCAAATTTTCTCTCTTCAGAAAAACTGCATTTTGATAGGGAAATAAAAAATAATAGTTTGTTCTTGACACCAGCAGCTGGTTTAAGATTTAGAAAAAAATGATATGTTAGTTATTGGAAATGTAACTGTTCCCTTTTCTTCATGCACACCACAGGAAATTGGTTCAATAAAAAAATCTGAAATAGATTTTTTAAAAAAATCATGAGGTGGGGAAATGATATTAAAGTTTGTCAGAAGAAAAAGGTTTGAAAATAACTTTAGATTCTATGATTGTTGCAGTAGGTGAAAAGCTAACAATTTATCAGTCTTTACCAAAATCACTATACCATGAAAGTAGATGCTTCAAGCTGTATTGTACTTGTTTGAGTTTTTATAACTTATTGCTTTTAAATTATCACGGT